GAGTTCCAGACCAACAAATTAAACAAAAGCCTCACCTTTTTTTACAATAACCAAGTTGAGAACACTCAGATTGGCATCCACGATGCATCCTCGAACAGACTTGCGCTTCCTCTCTCCAGTTCTCCTTGGTCTGTAGCAAGAATGCCCCTTACTCAACAGCAGGCGCACTCTGCCATGGGTCAAAACGCCTTGCTTCATGGGAAAACCTTGTTTGTCATTCCCGCCACTGATTCGGACCACATAACCCTGCATTGAAAACAAAATAGTCTTTTCCAATCTACAAAATACACGATCTTGATTGACCTCTCGTGAGCCACACCTAAGGAGAATAACTGAGACCAATTTCAACCTCCCATTTCCAATTTAAGTTCAACTAGCAAATTCTCCATTTGGTTACACTACTAATCGCCCAAGTTTTACCTGAGTGAACACGAAGGACTTTCAAGCACCTGAATTATAACAGTCAAGAACAGAAACACTTCCCCCAGCTTTATCTACTACATAGTCCGACCAGCTTGGACCTTAACTCCCTATTAACATATCACTGCCAGATGGCAACACTACTTACAACACTGTCAAGAGTTAGGAATAATGCGAATAACATTACCTTCCACTCTTCACCCAGAGCATCAGCAGCCACCTCTGTGGCCATGCGTTTTTCATAGAAAGTACGAAGCTTTCTTTCGTCGTCTACCTCAATTAGTTTTTGGCAGCCGGTGGCCGGGAAGGAGATATTCAGCTAGGATTTAAAACAAAAAACAAAACCTTAGGAAACCTACACAACACCAACAATTCAGTCGCACGACGTGTTGATGCATCGCCTATACACGGCAGAAAATTGGAGACGCGGATTCTTGCAAGCCCAAGAATGGTTAAGTACCCCATTAATGGGACATGGTTTCCTCCAGCTCTGCGCCCCTCACGATCCCGGAACGCAGAGCAAGTGGCGGCGAGAGTACAAGAGCAGCCGGACTGCCCGCCGCAGGCCGGGCCAGGAGCCGGGCGCCGCCATTGGACTACGCCCGCCGTTCCAACGCTGCAATCGGCCGCCATCCGCTGTCCCACGGAGCCCCAAGCCCACGAGAGAGAGCTTCCTCCTGCCTCAAGACCCTTCTCCACCTAGTGCGGGATTTGTGAAAGCCTGGGGCGGAGGCAATGCTGCTCTCTGGGGCTCGAACTAAGCTCCCCGGCCTCACTCAGGCCCAACTACCACCTCCTACCTTCATCTTGACGCAGCCGACCGCGCAGGAGGCGCCACGAAAAAGAGACCTAACTTCCGCCTAACCCAGGTCACATAGCGCTGTCAATTCTCGCGAGACTGGCCTGTGCGGAGGGCGGCGGAAGTCAGTCCGGAGGGGCGGTACTTCCGGGGGACAGGATTACTAGGATGCCCCGAGGCCGGCTCTTTGCGGCGTGGTTGGTTTGTTTACTGGGTTTTCCGCTGAGCTCGTCTGTCTTTGGTCTTGAGGGCAAGCGGCTTCCTGGCTAATCCCCCCCGCGCGGCCTGGGACGAGGGTCTGGTCTACATGGAGGAGTCGAACCTCAGCTCCCGGCCGAGGTCTAGTATAGTAGCCAAGTGGGAAAGCACAACCGGAATTGTCGCCCGGGCGGGCCTGTCGTGTCTGCAGAAGTTTTCCAGTTGAGGATGCTGTCCTGCTGCCGGCGATCGACAGCTAGAAATCATAGAAACCTAGCTTTGTTCTGTGTCTCCTGGAGTGCCTGCAGCAGTCTCCGGGTCGAAGCCAAGGAGTCACCTTTCCCAAGCACGGGCAACCGTCAGCTGCTTCGTGGTCTGAGTCTCCCTGCTTTCTCCATCACACCACCTTTTTTCCCTTTTGCGGGTCGGGTAGGGGTCCTAACCCCGAGGCTACCTTCGCCTCCCGGGCGCTGGGATGAAAGGCATGCGCCACCGCCTCCCGACTGCAACTCTTGTCTGCCTGCTTCCAAAGGAGTGTGAGCTGCTCTCACCAGCCTGCTGTTCAAACTTCTTACCACGGCCTCGCCAACTTTCTCATTTTGCTGTGCTAGAACAGACGCCAGCTGATGTTATGTAGATCGATTAAATATCAGCTCTAAACCTCTCTTTAAGCATTCTACCTAAAATAGGACCCCCTCCTTCCTGGAGTGTGGCACTGCTTTTATATTGATTGCCAATTACGCATACATGATTGAATGGTGTGGTCCGCCCCTGTGCTAGATGATAAATTTAGTCAGAGCTCTCAGGTTTAAAGTTCAGGCATCCTCAGGATACGGCTAAGTACGTGACACTAAATAAAGTGTGTTCAGTAAATATCTGTTAATTTATAACTTCAGCCATAAGTGTGTTAGTTTAGAATATATGGAACCAGCCAGGAGCGACAACTCCAAACAGCATTTTTTTTCTTTCTTTCTTTCTTTTTTTTCCCGAGACAGGGTTTCTCTGTTTAGCTTTGTGTCCCGCGCGCTCTGTATTTCTCGCCAGCAAGAAATCACACGCAGGACACTCAGCACCTTCTGCAGACAAGCTTTTAATGCATCTTGAGAGTGGAGAGCATAAGCTTACCAGAGCGGAGACCAGAGCGGAGACACTGAACTAAGAATCCCTTATATAGGCTGGCAAGTAGCCGCCTGGGACATGTTACCCTATGAATGGCTTCAGGTCCTCAGGCCAAATGAGACACGGGAGAGGCAGAGATCACAGGC